ATTCTTCATTAAAATTATAAGCGTTTACTCGCTTAGGTTTCTTCATCGTGGACGTTACAGTCATCAGTGTAAGAGTTTATAAGCAGATCTCTGTAAGAAAACATTCTGAATGATATTGGGAATATATTTAGGAATTAATCAAAATTGTCACCTACAGACAGACAGAAGTGTCTTGTTTTGCATTTGCTAAGTCTTTTGTCCGCAAGTTTGTGTCATAGAGGTTACGGTTAAAAATGCATGAGCCACTTCACGCCATGTCGCGCTGTCGGTTAGGCCCGACTTAAGTCGGCTTTAGTCTCTTTAAAGAAACGTTTCGATCACGGATGATGCAACAAAGTAGCTATCTGATGCACAAATGTTAAAAATATAATTGTAATATGTATTCTACAAACATAAAGCAAAAACAACAAAATTGGCCACAAAGCAGAACAATTCAGCGCGAGCGCGTTACTAAGATAAATGATATTAGTGTAATTGATGTGTCAAATTGTTGTATTTTTTGGTGTAGTGTAACGTAAAATTTACATCAGTAATTTTTAACACTGTATTTTTTAGTTTTTCTTATTTCCTTCTCTTTTACGTTACTCTTTGCACAGAAAGTCTCTAACATTGATCATGCCTTAATGGTATTTGCAATTTGCGCGTATTTGGATCTAACACTGATACATCGACATTATTTAATTTCATTTTACAGCAAATATAGCAAGCTGAATCTTTTATATTAACGACGTTTTCACTCAGCTATTAAATACCATTGTATCTGAATACTCATACCTAAAAATTGGAGATTTTGTTTTATTCTTTTGAGATTCAGCATTTACTTTTGCTACCCTATGGGGAACAAGGTTCAGTCATTGCGTGGCTAGTTCGTAGATCTGGTATTTTAAAATGCTCTATAAAATTTTAAAAAGCAAGCGCTAATACATTATAGAGTAAAAATAGTCAGTACTGTAAATTTATTATATCACTCTGTGCAGCACTCTCACAATTCAAAATTAGAAAATTTAACTATTGAAGTTATATTTTTATGAAGGATTCTTTCAAGAAACATTCAACATCAAGCGCGGAATGGCCCGCACTTCATCAGAGCTGGTGAAATTGCGTTTCACGCAAAAAACAGCAATAACATGCCATAATCGTACAAAAATCACACCAAAAATGCAGTAATCCCAGGAACGATTGCGAACGTCTGCGGTGAATACCACTTTCCGTCTGCTCAACAGGCTTCGCGTATAACATTACGGCAACTAAACATGAACGAGTCCATAGTTTGTAAACCTCCGAAACTTGAAGATCCTTTTAACATCAAGCTTCAAGTTCAAGCGCTTGAAAGATATGGTATTAGGACCAGTATTGCTACAATATAAATATAAAAATTTCTAAATTATTTTAAATGTAGATACAAATTATGCATATTTGTATAATTACATTTGTACTTATATCATTTGTATCTACAAAAAAATTAAAAAATTTTGAAATGACAATTTCCAATAAAACACAAAAATGAGATATTTTGTGAAAAAACGACTTATCAATTCATTTCTCAATTAATAAACTCAGATCTATGTGGAATAACCCAAGAGTGAGAGCCCTAACTTGAAATCACAGCATTACATAACCTCCGGGAACTAAGTAACAAATTACATTTAATTCTGTTATTTCTTTACAAAAGGATACAAAAGAGATATGGTAAAGCATCAAGTGAGCACTTCACAAAAATGAATCAATAAAGTGCAGAATGGTTTATCACATCTATAGTATGCGAAGAAATATAATTTAAGTCAGAAACTTAAAGATTAATAAAAATATTAAAACTGAATATATCCGCCAACTAATTAGGAAATCTTATGAATGACTCTTTTTCGTGTTTAAAGTAATACATATCTAATAATCCGATGATTACCTCTTATGAAAAGTTCATCTGATAACTTTAAAATAGGTCTGCGACAATTTTTAAGAAATTTTAACGGAATGTAGCTTACAACTGTTGCACACTGAAACAAGTGGCAAATTTATACTTCCAGCTCAAATCACATTTTGCACTTCCCGTTGGTTTGACTATTTTGTCATAACTCCTTAGAGATTCTTTGCTACGGTATTCTATTCTCGACTTCGATGTTCTGAACAAAACTGTTTTGCCACAGGCAAAGCGGTGGCTTTAGAATGCATATTGGATCAGTGCTTGCTATTTTTTTGTACTATAACTGCATTAGATTTTTGCGTATTGAAATATCTACTATCAGTACGTACAACTTCTGACGTTGGTGTATGTTGCAAGTGAACTTTGTCTTTTACAATCGAAACATTTTGTTTTTTCGTATGGTAGAAATGCGTGTTTTTGTTGACCGACCATGTCATTGTGTATAAGACATTTAGTCGCACTCACGGTGCATTTGTTTTGCAAAACTGCTAACATGGCATACTTTTTTACATGCTTCTACAACAAGAGCACATTGTACAAATAGATTATAATGCTTAGAAATGATTTCAGTAATTGATGACCGCGAAGATTTCAGTCTTCTTACTTTCCTCTCTTTCATGGGTACTTATTGCTTTTCAAAAAACTTATGTGTTATCGAGCATATCTAAAGTGTTATAAAAGCTATTACAAAATTCATAAATTAATAAACTCAGAATGAAGACAAAGTTTTAACTGTGACTTACAAATTCCCTTTGACTTACAAATTAATTAATGAAAACTGTATGATTTTTCAATATTTAGTAAAAAAACCTATCATCTTTGTAACATTTCTTTATTGTCTAGAATAAAAGATTGTCGATTTAAAATGGAAAATATTCTCTCACAAATTTTCTAACATTTTCATAGGCTTACTACATTGTTCAAATAAAGAATTTTGTAATGACAAAGGAAAACTCTTTAATTCCTTCATGCTGTCTAGGAAACCTCCAGACAACTCTAATTATTTACCTACCTTAAAAATTTGTCTCTCCTTTTGAAAACATTATTGCGCTTTCGCACGCACTTGACCTGCTACAGTATCTGCAGTATTCGGCTAATATTCATAACAGTTCGTATCAGTAGAATAATTCCATTACTGTACTGAATAATCTTTAACATTAATTAATAACAAACGAAGCGGTGTGTAGCTTTGGAGCGTTAACAAAATTTAGCGCTGTGTAGCGTGACTCGTCAGACATGAATTATTTCGAATTGCGAAAACGAAACCATTTCCTACAGCAATAAACCTAAACCTAAATTTTACTTATAAATCTTAGCGCTGATACTGGCAAACCTGTAAAACTGAGAAACAGTCAAAGAACCAAATTAACTAATGAATCAGTTCGGCGCATGTCAGCAGCCGTGTTGGTTGGCAGTTTTGTGCTGTGATGAAAAGTCTTTATTATTCTGTGCATATTGGTTCTGTGTTATTGAAAGTGCTTTTTTATAATTTGTTTTGTGCTCCGGTTTTGAAAAATGTGCCTTTTGTAACAAGACAATGATTATTTTGAAGAAATGAATGATTGAGAATTTCATCGACCCCGAACGCCCCATTTGCATGCACGGCAATGGCTGCTACGGAGGATGACGTTTTTTACGATGCTCTTGAAAAACACTGTAAAATTATTGAATCAGCACTTCAATCTAAATGCAATATGAATCAACAGGTTCGCGAGGAGGCCAGGCAGGCTTTGGGTGAGTTGAAATCTTCTATTTATAAGAATTTTGAACGTATCAAAGCTGTTAAATTTATGGATGCATGTAAGGAAAGTTTGAAAGACGCCTTTTCAAGACCTAGTTATGCTAGTGTGGTGGCGTCATCTGATGTTACAAGGATTAATGAAAAATCCTTGATTTCTTCGGATTGTTGTTTAATTGTAGACTCTGAAAACTGCTCTTCTGACGATGTTAAGAAAGTTATTAAACTAAAAATTAATCCATTAGAAGCTAAGTTAGGTGTATATACTTTGAAAAAATATTGGAAAAGATAAAGTCTTGGTTAAGTGTTTGACAGAAAATGATCGGAATCGACTTCAAGCCGAGATTAATGAAAAGTCTCCGGAATTAAACACGTCCTTACCAAAAAAGAGGAATCCTGTTTTACTTGTAAAAAATGTGCCAAATGAAATACCTAATGAAGATCTTCTGAAAGTGATTTTTGAACAAAATCCCGAAGTTGTTGAATCTGATGAAAACAGAAGTATATGTAGAGTTCGTTTTACTTTAAAAACCTTCCAGTTCACGAGGCACGTTGTGATTGAAACGCACCCCATGGTTCGTAAACGTATTCTGAATCAAGCCAGGTTGAAAATTAATTGGAGTATATGTGAAACTGACGATTTTATTATCATCAATAGATGTTTTAAGTGTCTTGGGTACAACCATCGTGCTGATGAATGTCGTGAGCGAACAGCCTGTTTTAACTGTTCTGGAGAACATAAGGCAAGGGATTGTTCGAATAGGAATGCTGTAGCTTGTATAAATTGCATCCGCTTCAATCATAAAACAAATAACAGCTATAAAAAAGTGAATGTTAATCACAAACCTTTTTCAGAATGCTGTCCTAGTCATGAATTTATGAGAAAGAACATTCAATCTCGAATTGATTATGGCTAGACGCGTTCTAAAGTGTGTGCAGTTAAATCTTCATAAATCCAAATCTGCGACACAACAGCTAATTTTAAATATGGAAGCTGATGATATTGACTGTGCTTTGGTTCAGGAACCTCATTATTACAAGAATTTTCTTCCAGGATATCCTGGCACTTATAGACTTTATTGTGATCCTAATTCTGATAATGTAAAGGCGGCAATCATTATTCGATCACGTGATCTATCAACATTTCTTGATTATAAAAATACGGATTATAATATGGTTACCTTGGATATTACTGTTGGCTCAACTGTGCTCACTCTTTTTCATACTATTTTGCTCATACCTCAAGAAACATGACTTTGAACCCTCAAGAAACATTGACTTAGATCTTCATAAAATTAGTCAAGTCTTTATGTCCAAAATCTTAATCGAGTGGTTTGGTGTATGGACTCTAATAGCAAATCTGAATTATGGTTTAGTCCCTATTCTGACTCTCGTGGAGATAAACTGAGTGAATTTATATCTGCCAACAACCTATTTGTTATTAATGAAGATTATGGACCTACGTTTCAGGCAACTCAGGGTTCTAGTTATATAGATGTTACTGTTATTGGTTCAGATCTTCTCCAGGATATTTCGAGTTGGCGACTGTCTGAAAAAGAATCCCTTTCTGATCATATGATGATTGAATTTGAATTTTGTCTTCTACGTTCTTACGAGACACCTCAAATGTTCCTTTTAAAATCTTCAATACAGGGAAAGCAAATTGGGATCGTTTTCGAAAATTTTGTTCTTCTCGCATCACCCGTTTCATTGATATTCTTAACGACTGTACTGACGGTTCTCGACTAAATACTCTTGTTGAGAATTTTAGTTCTGTTCTTCTCCAGGCATCTCAAATTTCCATACCTGTTAGGAATCATGGTAAGCACAATGTTCCTTGGTGGTCTGCCGAAATTTTTTGTATGAGAAAAAGGCTTAATGCCTCTAGGCGTAGATTTCAGCGTTGTAAAAATCCGCCTCTTAGAGAACTTTATAAAAGTAAATATCTTGAATATAGAAAAGTTTACAATCTAAAGCTTGCCGATGCTAAATCTCAGTCTTGGAAAACATTTCTTTCGACCATTGATGTTCACAATGTATGGAAAAAGATTTACACGTATGGAGTTAAAAGAGATTTCATGAAAAAAATTGAAATAACTGGTATTTGTCTTTCCACTGGAGAGACAACCAACTCTTTAGAAGAGACAATTACTGCTGTGCTTCAGAAATCTTTCCCCTCGGATCTAGAGGAAAATGATGATGATTTGCATAAGGAATACCGTCAAGCTGCGCGTACTGCTTATTCTTCTTTTGTAGATCCTATGTTTTCTTGTGATGAAGTTAATACAGTTATTTCTATGCTGGAACCAAATAAATCACCTGGTCCTGACTCTATTTCGAATGAGATTATTAAACAGTTTCATTTAATGTTTCCTCAATTTCTCCATAAACTTTTTAACGTTTGCCTTAAATGTTGGCATTTTCCCACGTGTTTGGAAACATGCTCAAGTAATTCTTATTCCTAAAGGAAATGAGTCTAGGATTCCTTGCCTAGATAACCTTAGGTGTATAAGCTTACTTCCTGTTTTGGG